AACATGAACATTAGCGGTGACCCAAACATAGCTGTCGCTATTCGAGAATATTTTGATTCAGGACATACATACGAGGTGATACTGGATATGCTCAAGTGTAATCATGACATTGCAATTAGTATGCGTACACTGAAAACGCATTTAAAAGAATCTGGACTGTACAGACGAGGCAACTATTCTCCACTTCCTGAGGTGAGGCGTGCCATTTTGGCCAAGCTTCGAGGACCAGGACAATTGTTTGGATATCGGACCATGTGGCAAGTTCTCAAACAAAAACACAAGCTGCATGTCAAGCGTGATGTAGTTATGAGGCTGTTGAGACAACTAAATCCTCAAGGAATCGCTTTGAGAACTCGGAGGTTCACAAGACGCACGTATCACTCCATGGGGCCCAATTACATATGGCATGTAGATGGCTATGATAAACTGAAACCCTTTGGCTTGGCCCTGTCAGGATGTATAGATGGCTTTTCAAGAAGACTGATGTGGCTTGTGTGTGGAGCAACAAACAACAACCCGGCTGTTATAGCTCACAATTACCGTAAATGTCGGGCTATAAGCCGCTACTTTTTGCACAAGCTTTGAACCCTGCGGCTTTTAGTCAGGTGCGGCTTTTCTATGGATTGTCCATGATTTTTGTCATATCGTAAGACGATTTGTTTTGTGTGTTGTACGGCACTACGTTGCCTGGCGGAAGGATCGGGGTTCAAGAGTGGTATGTTAGTCACATGTCCGTCCGCCAGGCAACGTAGTGCCGTACGAAGTAGCGCGAAAAACAAACTTCAAAGTAGCGGTACGCGTTCAGCAGGAGTCATGGATGATGAGCGGCGATAAACTTGCAAGTTATGCCCAAAAAGCAAGTTATGCCCAACTCCACCGGTGGATTCTGACAGCGTGGAAAAGTGTGAAAACATCCACGATCACCAACGGATTTTGAAGGGCTGGACTGCTGCATGATGGAGACGAGGACACCGCCACGGCCCTTCTGAGGGTGTTCGACTCTGACACTGACAATGAGGATTTCTTTGGTTTTGAAAGTGACAACGAAGGAGAGAAGAAGAGTGGATGACAAAGCCATCCTGAGCCTGTTTGTATCCGACACTGGAGAAGAGGACTTTGGTGGTTTTAGTGCGCAGGAAGAAGAGAAAGATGGTGGTGAATGACTGACTTTTCTTCTTGTTAAAGCTGTGTCACTGCACCTGAGCCTAAAAGGTAGTCCGAATCTATTTTTCTGGTGTGCTGTAGGCTACTGTTATGTACTACATGTGCAAATATGTACCCATAACTTGTTTTTCAAAATATTAATAAAAGTGATGTCTCCAAACAGCCATCTCTTTCCTGACAATTCCCTTTGTGCATATTCTCTTACATATGATAAGTCAACATTGAAACACCTGCGGCTTTTGGTCAGGTGCGGCTAATGTATGTACAAAACAGGATTTTCCCCTGATTTTAGCTTGTGCGGCTAATATTTAGGTGCGCTTTGTAGTCCGGGAAATACGGTATATAAACTGTGTAAAGAGTCTTGGTGTGATACCAATGAGATTACGAACAGACTTCGGGACTGAGAATGGGACTATGGCAGCAATACAGTGTACCCTCCGTCACGCGCACACGAACTATTATGCTGGATCGTCAAGCCACAGTTACGGATCATCTACTGGGAATCAGCGCATTGAGTCATGGTGGTCTTATTTCAGAAGAGGAAGGTGGGTACATTTGTGTCTGGTAGGTGTAAGCTACAGTGAAAGCTGATCAGATTGTTTTTTTGTTTTACATGCATTTAAGAAAATAGAGTAGCGTCCTGCTGTTGAAAAGTTGGATGAGATAGACGTTAACAGCCGTCACTTTATTGCAGGAACTCAAAATGGTCACTGTCAGCTGTTGCGCCGAAATGAGCATGCTTGCCTAGATTTAACGACGCCAATACAAAATGAAAAACTCAGACCAAACTCTCCACTCCTCACAATCAACACACAGAACAGAGTGAAAAGAATACAGCATTTTTAACAAGAACATTACTGCAGGGTCGCTACAATATTTATGGAAAACTAATATGCATTACTTTGTTTGACATCCATTTGTGGCATGTTTTAAATGGGACCAAAATGTAACAAACCCTATAAAATGACCAAGAACAAAGCTAAATTGATTCTTAAATATTAATTATATACCCAGGTCTCAGTTTTGGATGGACTTGTTTGGAGACCTAAGAGACTCTGGAAACTTAAATGGAAGCCACGAACACCAATGCTTGCTGAGATTCTGCTTCAGAGGGGTTCTACAGAAAGCCCTGGATGAATGCAAAGACCTCTGGAACAAACACAGGAGCCGGCCAAGCAGACTTGCATCGTGTCCAGGGGGGATTCCAAACGAACTCTATCTCTTGCCTCACAGGTATTTGAGTTCTTAACAAAATGAATTAACCTTTTGCATCAAACTAAATGCAAGGTGTTGTTATTGCTTAAGTTGGTTAATATATATTCATAATTTTACACATAAGTATGATACAGCAGTTTATAACATGTCACTGCATGCGTTGATTTATATAGTTCCATATTGTCAGCAAAAAATCCTTCACTGTTCTATTTTCATTTTGCAGATATGGTTCAAGAGACTGTGGATTTGCTGTTGAGGAGAGGGAACTGGATGGTTTCCCGAGGAGGGGCTACCGGTTGGATTGTGTGGTGATCCAAACATTGAGGAATATTTACAACAGGCTGTACAACAAAACACACTGCAGCAGCCACAAGACTGGGAATCGGCCACAGAACTGTATTTGGCCCTGAAGGACATAGCTGGGTTTTAGATACCAACTGAACTTCAGTTTGTAATGACATTTGTCAGAGTTACTCTGACGAAGACACACACTGTGTTGAAACGTTAGTTTCTTTCCTTTTTTTGCACCTAATAAAACCTTTGGACTTGAGTGCTCCAGCCCTTCTGTTTTTCCTTCATTTTTTTAATGTTAGTAGTGTTTCCTTTCCCTCTTGCTAAATTGAATATAATATTGTTCATAATATACAGCAACTGGCATGAATTTAAATATTAACATTTAACCACAAGGAAACATTTACAATTTTCTTTAATAAAACCATTTACAAATAGTGTCCAGCATTTCTGTCACTTTTCCAACATACACAATATTAAGAAAAAACAACTAAATGTTTAACAATATGGAAGTTGCTTATCACATGAATGTGTTAGGTTCAGCTGCCGTTGGCACACTACTTAACAGGGTAACTCAGTAACTGTAACTTGATGACCTTGCTGATTTAAGAACATCCAAATCCTGGAGCATTTTGAATTCCAAAGTCCATGTTGGCCTTAAAGATGCCATATGAGTCACAGATGGGTAGCTTCAGAGTATTTGCACAGATGTTTGCAACTGGAAAAGGCGAATCACTTAACTGGATGCATGGTGGTGGTGTCATTCCTGCCGGTGGAACTGCCGTCAGCCCTGTGGCAAACATCATCAAATCTTCCAGACACACTGCTGTTGCCTTCTCTGAAAGAAGAAAGTAAACACTGTAGTACATTACAGAAAATTAATTTCCTTACCTCTCCTTTCATAAAACTATAAACAAATAAAAACGGCCATTCAAACCTTCACAATCAAGGAGATAATCTGCCCAAAAGCCAAGTGTTAGGACCTCCTTATGCCGCTTGTTGCTTCCTGCTGGGCTGAGATCTGGTCTGAACATGCTCTCCAGTTCTGAAGCAGTCAGGGCCTTTGCAGAGAAGCATAGGAGTGGGGCCAGCACACTGGAATGTTTTTGCAGTGCACTTAAAAAATTCAGACTTTCCAGTCCATCTTTAAATCTGCAATAGACAAATAACTAATAATTGGTTTATAGCTATGACTATTGCAGTCTTCTAAATTGTGTTTAAATGACTTTACCTACTAGATCTTTCATTATAAATTTGGACAGATTTCAAATGCATACACAAAAATAATTAATAGTGCTCATAAATTAACTGTGACAGCAAAAAAAAGAAGAGCTCATTGGGATTTCAGCATTTAAAAAAAAAAAAATAGTGCTTTCACACTGGAATAAACAAGTGTGTCGAAAAAGGGATCACCTCTTTTTATAAATAACTGAAAAATTAATCATGTTGCATGACTGATTATTATGGGTCATTGTGAACAATAAATGTATACTAAATTAGAGTTCTAGTGTCAAAAGGTTAATAGCGTGCAACAGTGGCTCAGGAATTAAGTTGTTGTTCATCAGATCACCGGATGCTACCGAATCAGTTTTTTCATATACATCTGAAGGTCTGAAAATGTCAGTGGCTGCTGTGATGAGCAACTGGCCATCCTGAATTTAAAAGGAGTAATGAGTTTACCGTTGTATGACACTTTGGTTTCTTTCAAGGATGTACCATCTGAGGTATTCCTCCACAAATGCTTGTTTCTCACAAGGCTTGACATTTCTGAGGCATCCAGCAGTTTGGAAGATTGTGCTGTTTTGCAAAATAAGATTATGCAAAGACTCCTCTGATTCAGCTTTCAGGACCTATAAAAAAAAAAAGGTTTACTGTAAGAAAAACAAAAATAATTTCACTACTTTTACGATTCATTCAAACATTGGATTAAAGAAATAATCAATTTGTTATTTCACTTGTGTTGTTGGGAGGTGGAAATCTGTCCTTTCAGATTACAGAATCTACCTTGAACCTACTTTCAAGATATGATCCAACACGGATAACTGTTATCCTGATTTAATCTTTTAAACTGGCCCCAAGTGTCTTCTAAGTAAACCCATTCCCTGAGCCTAGGTAATTTCTACCTGATGTAGAACTTTTGTGATCTCCTCATCTTGCACATCTTCTACAGTGGCGCTGAAACTCTGATTCCCTGTGATGTGGTTGACCAGGTTCTTGGAGAGGAAATGTGGTGCTGGTCCCCATGCACAATGGATACAGCGATCATCTTTCCTGCTAAAAAGTACTCATCTTGCCTGGCAGCTGTAATACAGGGCACATAATTATCATGGTTAATTGCTATTAAATATGCTAATGAAAAAAATAAGCCAATTTTTATTAAAATTTCCATTGTAATAATTACGGAGAAAACATCCACCTCTTGAATTATATACAAGATAACGGCTCTCTGGAGGTCCATCAAAGATGGGGCATTTCTCAGACTGCCCATAAGAAGTGTGAGGAATTCACGCCTCGGGCCACCTGTATCCAAACCGTCTTCAAAGCTGCCAGCATCATCATTAAACTTGATGAACATGTCGTAGTTGTCAGAGTATGTGCTGCGTCGAAATCCTCTAACGCTCCATCCCATACAGCTGACCTTGATATATTGAACCTGCTGACCTTCTTGTGGTCAAGTTCCAGTGCCAAATTTGCAATAATTTCATGTGCCTCCAAATTGGTGTCTCTAAAAAAAAAAAAAAAAGGAAACTTATTTTTTAAAGGTGTATATACTTCTCTCATGATTGCATGATGTCTTGTACAGAACAAGATGGCAGTTAATTGGATTCAAATGTTTAAATTACTAACACAGGTTCTTCTGGGGGCTCAGCTTTGGCTTCGTTAGGAGTAGGATCTTCATCATCAATCACAATCGGTTCAAACAGCTGTGTGTAGTTTCTGCAGAGTGAAAACATGTACACAAAGTGTAGATGCAAAAATACAAATGCATAAACATGCAGTTCCACTTTTATAGAACGATTCTACTATTTATTTTTCTGAAGAATCAAATGTAAAAGAGTCAAACTACATACATTTATAATAATTGTGTGTATATATTTTGTGCAAACCTCTGGAATAATTACTCAAGATACAACGCACCTGTAACAGGAGCTCTCGACAGTGAGGCATTCAGTAGTGCCTGTATCGTTTTCTTCTTCCAAATCTATGACCTGGAAATACAGAAAAGAGGATGAATGAAAATTCATATTTGACCAATTGATAATTATTTTAATATAGGGAGCCTAAGTCTCCTCCCCTTCTGGTCTGCTCGTGGGTCCCTGAACAAAAGAAAAATCAATGGAAGTGAATGGAGCTATAAAAGTTATTTTCTGGTCTGCTTTGCCTTACTCTCTGAATCACACATATGTTGTACTTCAATTTAAATAATAAATAATTGTGTTTCGACTATGTCTGTAATGTAATTTGAGATTTGTTAGCTTGTAAAAATTTGTCCTTAAAATGACTACAAGTCAGATGTCGCAAATATGATGTCGCCTCAGAAGCTTTTCTCCCCCAGCGTAGCTGCTAATTATCACATGGCCAGATTTATAGTGGTTTTCTCCACATCATCCTGGAAGAAGGATTCGAAGCTCGCTAAACAAAACTAAGCTTTTCCTCTTCTCTGTGTCTGGTTCGATGATGTCAATTTTGTGAGACGAACATTTACATTTCGCCACGTCTTTTCAAACAAAACATAAAATAACCTTTGCCACCTGTCGCTTAAGCACTTTTTGGCATCAAAATGTGTTTATATACTTCACGGACATCATATTTTAAATCCATTATACACATCAAACGGGATCAGAAAATAATTTTTATTGGCTCATAGACTCCTATTTTTTTAGCAGTATGGGACCCATGGTCCGGAAGTAGATGGATGTACCTTAGGTTTCCTATCCCAATAGATTATCTAAAGGTACAGTAAGTAAGAATGAAATAAGAAATCCTGTGGTCAAATTTGTGTACTACAGTCTATCTTTATAAACAAACGAGTGACTCTCCTCCTCCCGTTCCATGAGTTTCATGGCTACGGATCAGCGCCAGAAGATTCTAGATGACAAAGACGAGTCATACACAGTTAGTTTCAATGTAACCTTCCTTCCAACATGATTGAGACATTAGACTGCTTTGTGATTATTTCACTTAGTGTACCTTTAAGGGGTGGATGTTATAATCTATTGATAGTATGAAAATTGATGATGTGAAATGCATTGTATAATAACAATGAATGTAATAAGCAAACAGTGAATCGTCATCTAATTGCAAGGCGGTGGAGATTGTCTGCTGCACTGTTTTACTAATAAAATAGTTTTTTACCTGTTGTACTTCATTAGCAAGCACAAGATCCCCAGCACCCTTCCTTAGAGAACAAAGAAAAGCATTATTGTTGTGTACTGTGAAAATATTAATTGACACTTTGAAAATATTTAAGCATCTTGATTAACAAACAAGCAATACAAGTATTATGTAGTCCATGTTCCAAAAACCATATACAGAATGAATGACTGTGTGTTATACTTGTATAACTATGCATGTGACAAATAAAGAACCTTGAACCTTTAACATTGACAAAAGTGTATATCTCATTAATACAAAAGTTTAGGCAAAAAACAGTAAAAGATTACATGTTCTTAAAATATCACTTACTCATATTCTGCCGCTTTCTGTAAAGGACTGCTTTCATGTTGAAGTTCCCATGGCTGAAACAAACAAACAAACACACGCACGCACGCGAGCGAGCACGCACGCACACACACACAAAATGTATTTCACATATAACTATTAACTGTTTTACTGAACTGAGGCAAATGGTGGTGGCTAAACAACAAGAAAACTCTATAAAAAAAATTTAAATTGTACTTACCAGTGTATCAGCAAGATCAAACTCAGAGGGCCTTTTAATAACAATCTCGGGGTCAGAGTCAGACAAGTCTGAGTTTTCTCCAACTACAAAACATGAAAACAAATCAAGCTAAGCAAACTAAATTCATACTAATGTATGAAACTTTATTTGATCATGAATAATAGATTAATACGAAAGGCATAAAGTTAGCATTTAAAAATCATGACTCAGTAGATCCAAAAATGGCTGAATTTCATGTTTCCAGGAAGAAACATAACATATACAAGCTAATTTAGGCAGCAATGGTGGCAGAGGAGTTAAAAGCCCGCCCTGTAATCAAAAGGTTGAAGGTTTGAGCCCTGCTCAGTCTGTCACAGTCGTTGTGTCCTTGGGCAAGACACTTCACCCTCCATGCCAGGTGGTGGTAGTGGGAGGGATAGGTGGCATCTGTGTACAGCAGCCTTGCTTCAGTCAGTGAGTCCCAGGACAGTTGTGTCCACATTGTAGCTAATCACCAGCAGTGTGTGAATGTGTATGGGTGAATGACTGGTTTTGTTGTGAAGTGTCTTGGGGGGGTTGTAGAACCCTAGAAGTTGCTATATCAAATACAGGCCATTCACCATTTTAATGTAGGTATGCTATTGACTTGCGTGCTTTATGCGTAATGTTATCATTTTACAATTTCAAAATTAGCAGTTGTTGAAACTAAGGGAATGTGTGTCAAAATCAAAACAAACATTAGCAGCTTACCATCTTCAAAGTCACTCTTCAAGCAGATGAAAACAGTGATTCTTTGATAAGGCTTGCCAACTTCAGCCTTATAAGCCTCAAGTGTAAATGGTCTTTGTGTTCCAGGGACAGTAATGACCTCAGTGCCATCCGGATACAGAAGAAGGAAAGGTCCATCTTTTAGATCTTTGTTAAAGTCCTTCATTTTTTTAAACAGCTTGATTGAGCAGACTTGTGGCAGTAGCGTCAGGGTCTGTTGTTAGGAAAATAGTTTTTCCACGGTATGGCTTCAAACCACCCTTTTTTATGGTCATCAAGCCGACATTTATCTGTAAGGAAAAACACATGAACAATGGGCCAAGTAGATACTAATATGACTCTAAGCAGATCTATTCAAACTTGAATATTTATTAACTGCTAAAGAGGGATCTTCCTGACAACCTAAATGTACAATTACTCGTAAACAATTGTTCTTATTCTGGATAGCTTTACTACACTGAACATTTTTTACACAACTCCCCTAAGGAATAACAAAAGAATGTCATTAGAAAATTAACCTCAACTTGTTTTCAGACTGAGCTAGCCAAACTACCTGAACCTTTCTTTTTTCCTTTTTCTTTAAGCCCTTCCTCCCTTCAGAAAACTTTTGCCTCTCTTCATTTTTCTTTTTTCTGTATTCTATGAAGGTGCTGAAGGTTGGAGTCGGGCAGTTTGAGGTAGTCTGTGATGCTAAAGGGAAACAAAGGAAAAATGTACTACAATGTCACACATTAAAGACATTCATTCATGTAACATTCCATTGTCCACACAACACGCAAATAAGGACAACACTGAATAATCTCACTAGAAAATTTCTACCAAGGAATGACAATGCAACTGATACTATTGACCAATACAATTCTACACCAGTAAGTTTTAATGTATAGACACATAATAGGGTTAGTTCCTAAAGTTAACCAAACATAATAAATGAACTAATTTATTATCGTTTCAGTTGTGGAAATGCTCAGAGGACTGTTCCACGAAGCAAGCTAATCCCAAAAGCCAGGCTCACTCTGAAAATCCAGGCTCGATTGCCCCAAATTCGGGTCCAGGAACGAGGCTAACCTGCAGTCTTTCTGCTCATTCATTATGCAATATGCTTGTGGACAAGTCTGGTCCGTGGCACCCTAGCTGCGAGGTTTGTTAACACTAGAACTGCCCTCAAACCTTCACTACTAGAAAGGTCTTGAGCAGTCATTTTGACAGCTGCGTGCATTTTCAAATGAGCCTCGATTTTCTGAGCTCGCTTAGTGGAACAGCCCTCTGGTCTGCTATGGGCTGGAAACAGCTAACGCTAGGCTAATAAATCAATAAATAACAAACATTTTATTATGCTTATTAACTTACTCAATGGGAGTGAAGTGTCTCCGATGCAAGATGCGTGATAAAGCCTCTCGCCACAGCCGCTGCAAAAGTTCGGCGACTCCTCAACCAGCTTTTTCCCACAGCTAGGACAAAACATTCCGCCGTTCTTCTTCAAACGAAATGCGCCACAGGCAGAGTAACTTCCGGTTCCAAAGACGAACAGATCGGACATCCAATCAGTGATGTCTCCTGTTGCCGACTGGTACCTACCCTTTCCGGTTTTCTTAATGTAATTGTGCTTCTCAATTTGTTTTTGTGATTCTTATTTTTTTTTTGTGCTTCTTGATTTGTTTTTGTGATTCTTCTTTTGTTTTTGTGCTTCTCGATTTGTTTTTGTGATTCTTCTTTTGTTTTTGTGCTTCTTGATTTGTTTTTGTGATTCTTCTTTTGTTTTTGTGCTTCTTGATTTGTTTTTGTGATTCTTATTTTGTTTTTGTGATTCTTCTTTATTTGTTTTTGTGCTTCTTGATTTGTTTTTGTGATTCTTGATTTGTTTTTGTGCTTCTCAGTTTTGTTTTTGTGCTTCTCAGTTTTGTTTTTGTGATTCTCAGTTTTGTTTTTGTGATTCTCCATTTGTTTTTTTGTTTCTCGATTTTGTTGTTGTGTTTAGCAATTTGTTGGTGTGATTTGCACTTCAGGGCCTCTCAATTTTGTTGTTGTGTTTAGCAATTTGTTGGTGTGATTTGCACTTCAGGGCCACCGTACCATGCACCCTCATAGCTTTTTATATCAGTACGCTTATGTCTGAAATGTAGAGAAACAGACATAAAGATTACTATTTCTTTGTAGATTTTAGTGGCCACATTCGATTGACCATGATGTGTAAGTAAAATGGAATGCAGTTAATTTTGTTTGTAATTTCATTAAAGTTTCTCCAGCCTAGTTTTGAGGGAGGAAAAGCAACAAAATAAGCAGTTACTCAAAGCACCAGCAAAACACACTACAACTTTAAAGCACCCACAGCTTTCGTTCTTTGTGTATATCTTAATTTTCACAATAACTTTAAATTTGCCTAGCTATGGAGCTGTGGTTAGGCTAATGTAAAGGCATTACCAATAGGAAACAATATGATAAGGGTTAAATTACTCAAGAAAAAGTTCACATTGAAGGTTTCTGATGGGCAGACCACAAATCATAAGCCAGAAGGGAGATGCTGAAAACAGACCAAACGTCACTAGAGACCATCTTAGATGATCCATCCACAACACATTGTTGCTACTCACCAAGTACTCCCCATAGACCGATTAATCTTTTCTGAGCACATGAGTGGTGGTAATAATGATTAGTCGAATAAGCTGAGAATGACTAATTACTGTGTGGGTGCTTGTTTATATTATATAAAATAAGCATTCAAAAAAAGCATTAGAGCACTAAAGCCTCAACTAACACTTTAGAAACTTGTACATGGAGAAAGTGTTCATATATCACTGAAACTGAGTCCAAGGTAGAAAAGGTGATGGCACACAGTACCATAATTACACCCCTTTACACATCCTCTACAGTGAAAAACAACAAATAGCAAAGTTTTACAGTTTAGAGTAAAATGTCAATCACATATATTTAATCTCTGTAATATCTGCAATTTGTATATATTAGAGCTATTTCTTATAGGTCCTCTTATAGGTCTGTTACTATCCTTATAGTCTTGAAGCAACTGTAACCACATAATTTCTTCAGGGATTATTAACCTCCTAGGACCTGGCGTCCACATATGTGGACATCACATTTTGGGTTGTCTAGACCAAAATACTAATTTTCTAAATTTGCTCTTACAAGGGATTGATATCCACTTACAGGGGCATTATACTGCCACTGTTCTATTGAAATTTTAAACAAATATCCTCATATGTGCATCCCATTTTTCTCAGAAACAAAAATCAGGTAAAAAATAAATAATAAAATAAATCTGGTACTTCTTTGTTTTTACACTCATCAGGTCCCAAAAAGCCCAAATATCAAAGGGAAATAAAAAATGCATGCCATGGAGGAGTTCGGGTCTTAGGAGGTTAAAGTATTCTGATTCTGATTGATAAAGCAGATTTGAGTAAATGCTTAATGCTTTTATATTCATCAAAAATATATCTACATGGACAAGAAAAAGGGCATTATACTGTTTAAAAACAAAACAAAACAAAAAACAAAAACAACCAGATCAGTTTGATCAGTTTATTATCAGAAGTAATAAAACAAGAAACAGCAGCAGGAACAGTTATTAGATGTAGAGCTGCAGGGAATAAGTTCCACACCTTCAACTTCTCAGCAAGGTAACCAACTCCTTTCCCTGTGCCCTGCCATTGGCAGGCCCATGCAGAGTGCAGCATAAAATCAGATCATGGTTACTCACAGAATGATAGAAAAAGCCAATTATAGCCAGCCCCCAGAATTCTGTGATTTGTAGTAGAAAGCCACAGTTGCTGTTACCGTCACTGATTACAGGTGCGGCCAAATCAATCAAGAGACTGTCACTGGAACCCCGAATACACCGAGAAGAAATCTGATTTAAGAGCCAACCCTACAGTAATAATTTGTGCTGGTTATAATGATGTTTCGAGAGCTGATCATTGGATACACTTCAGCACTTTCCTTCAGACTGAACCATGTCCAGAACTACTGGGTGGACTTGCAAAAAATTTGGTTTTTGGTACATTCATTGTTTCAGTAGCATACATTTTTATAAAATTCTTGCAATCCCATGATTTGTCGTCTCATACAGACACCACCAACTGTGTCTTTAAGATTCTCATATGCCTCTAATGTTTATCAGACAACAACTAACAGAGGTATGTTAAAAAACAAACAAACAAACAAACAAACACCTCAAGTCAATGACTAGTCACTTAAGCATCTGGTTGCATAACTAACTAAAGGTAGCATTAGATTTTGCAACCCATTACTTGATAGTTTAGCTAATGCGCTTGAGTGTAAATCTCTTGTAAGCTGCTTTGCAACCCACCTCAAACAATTCAATTTCATGCTATTCATTATGTTTATGATTTAATTAACATCACACCCAATGTCAGTCAGTTTGCTCTTTTCTGTGAGTTCTTCCTGCTGCTGCCCTTGCCTTTTTGCTTTTCATGTATGTGCATGGAAGCGCAAAGATGTGGGTCCCAGAGAGCCATAGCAGTCCTATTTTGACTAAAGCTGTTCTGACAGAAGTACATTTCTGACTGACATGTCATGCAAGACCAGTGTCATCCCAAATCAATACTCGGATACATGCTGGATAACACCTGTGCTTGACCGAGTAGAAGACATTATTCCCCATATCTGACTGACGTGTTATATTGCACCAGCAGACAACAGGTTTAGTGAAATTTAGATGTTCTTCATTCTGACTAATATTACTTATCACATGCCATGACAAGAACGACAGAAAATTATTACCTAATAAAATAATAATAAATTCTCAAGTCAATGCCTTTGAGCAGTTGTCAGTGACCTGTACTGTGACACCACTCTCCCTTACTTAGTTGTGCTTCCAAATGGAATAAAATGAACAGCAAAAAGCTTTAAAAAACTGGTCAGCATGGAAAGACCTTAACACTTCACCTCAGAGTAGTCAAACAGATTAAATAGCTGTTAGATGAAAATACAGGATACACTAAGAATCAAACAATGCACTTGCTACAACTGTCATGGTTGTCAAATCAACTGCAGATATTCTTTAGAGGCAAAGGAAAAGAAAATGTAATACAGGCATTATACATGTGAACTAAAACAATATTACTATAATGAAATACGGGACGATATAAATTGATATAATTATAAGTTCCCTGTGTACAATGTGTCACATTTTTCGGAAGAAATTTCTTCCACTGGATAGTTTTTTATATATTAAATTATAGCTCTCCTCCTGAGAAAAGACAAAATTAAAAGCATAAAGGGCCTCAAAAGAACATAATTCAGAGATGGCATAGTGTCTATGAAAAAATGAAACAGACAGACAGAAAGGAAGAAATTGGAAAGGAAAGAGGATGTATCAGATTGCAGAGTGAGGTGCGAACAGCATAATGTGAGTAACTGTGAGATATTGCTTCAAGAAACATGTGGGAGTGGATAAACACATGTCCCAGATGCCTCAGCAGCCAATGGTATATGCCCCAGTCATGGAACGCTTCCCAGAGCACTAATTTTGCTTCATTTCCCGTTCCATCCTTTGGTAATGAATAGCATTTATCACTGCAAGGATGTGTCTGTGGCTGCATACAAGAAAAAGAGGCAGAAGGGGTAAGACGGAGACAATGGAAGGACAAGTAATTTTCCTCATGCTCAACGGTGACAAGCTGGACTAATTAAATCTTTTATCTCAATCATTATAATCAATAAGGTCCTGACATGCAAATCTTTTGGTCTCCATAATTACACCCTTAAAGTCTCTTATACATTGTGTCAAGAAATGTCAAGGTTCAACATTCAGAGCAACAGAGGCAGAAAGAAACAGTCTCTGGAAATGAGTGCTCATCAACTATGCTGTGCGGATGTAGTCTGAGTTTCGGCTAGGGGGATCAATGCTCTGTGCAGCCATTGTCACCGCATGCTGACTATACTTCTGATGCTGCCTCCTCCCTTCTCATCCACATGTGGTCCAGAGGACAAGATTCAGCTGTGGTGCACTGTGCCAAGCAGTTTCAGCCTGGACTTCTCTATGAGCTTAACAGGGAGTGCAGCCCTCTCATTGTTTAGCACTTCAAAGGAAACGAGAAAAAAGAAAAAGAAAAAGAGGGAAGCAAAAGGAGGAGAGAGACAAAAGGGGAGTGAGAGAGAGAGCGAGAGGAACTGACAAACGCAGTGTGAGAAAGTGTAAAAAAAGGGGGGGGGGGGGGGGGGGGCAGAGGGATACAGAGTAGAAAGTGGCTGCAAAAAATATGTAATAAACATGAACCTAGCAGACACATGAGGTAATATACCGTGAGTCCAATTGAAAAAGAAAGACACTGTCCTATGGTCAAACAGTTCAGATTCATAAGGTCCCAAATATATTATATTCACTATTCACTACATATGATATTTTGGTTTTAAACATCTTGCGGATAAACTTTCAAAATCAAAGTACAGCACATTTCTTCAAATGTTTTACAGCTTTGACAGTGATATATTCAGCATGTGAGCCATACTTTTGCTTTTAGCAAGAGCCTACAAGTCTTCATTCCTAAAAAACAAAAGGAATGGTTTAACAGTACTTC